CTGACGAGCTGATAGCTCACCGAGATGCATCTCTGTCAACGAGATTTCTCTCGATTCGAAGTGTTTATACGCACTTCCGGTGGTTCGGAATCCACCTAAAATTTGTAGGTCTATTGTTACACTCTACAATCCGCGCGAGAGAGTAACTTGAAATAAAGGCTAAATAGTCTTCTCTCAGCTATATAATATCAGCGTATGATGACACAGTCGTTGTGACTTATGATCTTAATGAGATCTTAATAAGATGTGATAACAAAAAAAATCTGAGGCTATATTATGTTACTTAATTTTTTTTTATACTTTATACAAAAAAAGTCGAGTTACAAAAAGTTAACATATAAATTAATACACGTAGAAAATTTAAATTGAATATATTTTTATTGTGTAGCTTTGGTAAAAGTAATAAATAAACAAGTAAATCAATAAATAAAGTCATTAAAAATTAATTGTTAATTTATATCTTGNGGTTGATATTTTATTTGGTTGAATTTATACATTATATAAATGTTTTTATACTNGCAAGAAAAATTCAAGTTATGGAAAGTCAAGTAAAAAAAATCTTTGAAAATTGTAAATTCATTGTTTACTTGGTCTGAAGATTGATTTATTTTTTTGTTTCCTGGTTTCACGTTACATAAATGTTTTTATGTTTGCGAAAAGAATTTGAGTTATAAAAGATTAATGAGAAAATTCACAAATTTGAGTTACACGTTGTTGATGTTTATCAAAGATGCACAGTATGAAACGACTTCTGCTTCTTACGGGTTCTTCACTTAATTAAAGTTCTTAGTGTTTGCGAATATTTACTAATTAATTTGTTGAGAAAACTTTCTTTGTTGACGAAGATTCTCGTCGGAGAAAATGAACTTCATCCCCGATTGCACCCTCTTTCTCTTTCTTTCTCTCTCTCTCTCTCTCTCTCTCTCTCTCTCTCTTTCTCTCTCTTTCTCTCGAAATACAACCAATCCCACGTCTCATTAAACTGAAATTCGCGTTAACGCGGATGCGATGCTAACGTGTAACGTCGCAGGCCCGGCAACGTTCGCCGCAACGGATAAATCCCTCGTATCGTGAGCGAACGATAACCGGCGCAAGGATGAGAAAATTACGTGTTTCCCGCGTTAAGGACGTTTCGCGCGTTAACCCGCTCTCATCCGGCGGAATCTGGTGTCGATTGGCGGATTAATTACAGCGCGTGTCCCGCGGAACGATTGGGGGTACACACACTCGTTCACCCCCGGTCATTCGGTTCCCGTCAGCCTTGCCGTATCCTGTTCGCCTCCACCACCATCGACGGCGGCATCACCGCCACCACCACCTGCAGGAGGGTTGTCTGCGCTCTCGCCGTGGTCTCGGGGGTGGGGGTTAGCGTCAGCAACGGTGGGTGTTCGTGCAGGTACGCGGTGTATCCCCCGCGACCATCGCCACCACCACCACCATCATCGTCACCACCACCACCGTATCGGCACCACCAACACCATCGGGCGCGTATCCGTTTTCTCTCGCCAACCCGCTGTTCGAGCGCACCCCCCGCGCCGTCGCGGGTGCATATGTGTGCGCGCTTCGAGACCCCGGCGGTGTACGTACGTACAACGGCGCGGTTATACAGAGAGAGATTCCGTGCGACCGGCGTTCTCCGGCTCGGCTTGGTTCGATAGGCGCGCGCGCGCACGCTACCGATGGGGTTCAGTGCCGACAGTGCCGCCACAGCTCTCGGCAGAGACGCCCGTGATTTTGCACCCCCGCTCGAGCAGAATTTACCGGACTATACGACGAGGGTGCACCACGGTTTATCTTTTCTCTCCTCTCTCTCTCTCTCTCTTTCTCTCTTTCTCTCTCTCTCTCTTTTTTCTTTCTCTTTCTTCCCTTTTTCCTCTTTGTCTCTTACTTTCCGTCTGTTTTTTCAATCCCGCGGTCATACTCGCTCCTTCTTTTTTCTCTCGGAGAGACGTCTTCTCTCCCTCGTCGCGGAGGAAACTGTCTTTCCTCCTCGGAACTTTTCTCCGCTCGCGTATTCGTACCCCTTGCACGGCCGTGCCGTTCGCGTTTCGCGACTCGCAGTTGTGACTCGCCGGCTGATAACGTGGTGCAACGAGTGAGTGCTGACTGGGGATACACGAGCTAATCGCCCGGTCTCCCACTACCGATCCCGATACGGCCTCGATACGGTGGTGATGATAGTGACCCGTTGACGCGAGGTGAACCACGCGCTGACAGCCGCGCTTCGATCTCGTGAAACCCCCCATCTCGGCTCAATCGCATCGTCCCGATCTCGCCGACAGTCCGTCTTCGGGGTCCACCGCGCTCGTTTCACGTGATCCCGCTGGAGCGCGAGCTATAAACGTTGAGAGGGTCAGGGTGATCGACCGAGGGAAACGACACCGTATCGCGTCCGATATTGCACACGCGTCGCGTTTGTCCAAGTCGCATTCTCGAAGAGCGAAAGAGAGTTTCGTGAATCGCACGAGGAGGGACAAAAATTTTGTCACACATCGATCGGACCATCGATCGTTTCCCGAGAAGTTCGAATCGGGAACGTTTCTTCCGCGCGACAACACACGCCGCAACATGTACCGTTCGACGATTCGCGCGACAGTTTACGCACCTCGGTGACGTGGTTGATGATCGATGACGGCGAGAGTAGTCGCGCGGAATCACGTGGTCGACTTGGACTCGCCGCGGCGCGCATATATTTATAATGAAATTTGCAGCCAAACGCTGGGACGTGCAGCAGCGTGCTTATAGCTGGTGGTGGTGGTGGTGCCATGACACTCGTCGGTCTCGCCGACATTCGGAATGAGCTATGCGCGGCCACGGACTCCTTGACCTCTTAAAGTCGCGACGCGATACGTGGAGCGCACTCCGCGTGCGAAGTACGTGCGGTAAACCCGCTCTTAACAATACAGCAAGGCTAAACCTCGCGCGCGTCGCGAAAGGGGCGAAAGTCGCGAGCGGGCGGGTATAGCACCCGGTGGGGTGGCGATCGAACTTTCTGAAATTTCAAGAAGTTCATCGCCGACTTGGCGAGCACGTCAAATCGGCTTACGCGCGCTTTACACGCATCTCGCGCATACACACATACACACACAAACAAACAAACAAACAAAAACACACACACACACACACACAGTTGCGAGCAAAATGCCGCAATCCGTCAGACGCAACGATCTTCCACAACAACAACAAGTGCGATCAGAAACTTTCGAGTGCGCGTAACTTGACGGACAAAAATCGAAAAATCACTCATCCTCGTCGTCATCCATCGTGCGTGGTTTCCGGATACGCTTATCATTAACCGTCGCGAGTTGAGTAATACGACGCGACTACAGGGGATTATCAATTTTGTTTCTCACAGTTCACTCCCAACAGCTCAATCTCAAGTACTGAGAGAGTAAAACGTAGTGTAATTTAAGCAACGTGGTGCGCATCGCTCGACGTGTCTTTTATACAGTGAACTTCCGGTTCGTTAGCCGCAACATTTCTTTCTTCTGAAACGAAGCGCAACTCCCGCTGTATTTAAAAAAAAAAAAAAGAAAGATATTTTCAAATGTTTTCGTCAAGTGACGCGGAAATGTGATCCGAGTGCGCGCGACGTGATTCTAAAAAAAAAAAAAAGAAAAAAACAAGAGATGTTTCAAGTCTTCGTTGATGCCGCGGTAAACACTGAACCGATCGACGCGTCGCATAAATCAATGAGATAGAGGAAGACGAATCGCGCCCTTTCGAAGATTAACTCGACTGTTCAGGATCCCGGTCGGCTGGTGGATAACAGCGTGACGCGTATCGATCGGCTCCGGCAATCGAAGCGATCTAAGCGATAACATGAGGTCGGCGAAAGTAGTAGAAAATCGAAAGAGATGATCGAGCACAGGTCCCAATGACATCTCGGCGGGGCGGGAGCGAGGGATACAAAAGTCCTCCCAGCTCTCCGAGCAGCGGTTCGGAGGACAATGGTTTCACGAACCGGCCCCGAGTGGCCGGGCTCTACGTGAAGAATCTGAGCCGAGAGGAGTTGGATGAGTTGGCCAAGGAGGGTATTTACGGGCCCACGGGCAACCCGAACGACCGGCCCAGAGACGGCGGCAGCCAGAGGAGTCTGAACCTGCCGGGTAGCAGTCGGGACTTCGACGGTCAGGATCGTCACTACAGGGGAGCGACTTCCAGGACACCTCAGCCGCCGAGAAGATCCGCCGTCGGCGCCAGACACCGGGAACACGGCGGACCGCCGGAGAACCTAGCGCGAAGGGATTATCATGGCTCGCTTCCGATTGAGAGAGGCTGGCCGAGGCGACTGGAGGATCGTCCTGGACAGGCCTCGCCGGAGAGACTTCTCCGGGGATCCTCCGAGTTTCCCGTCGGCTGGAGGGAGCCGTTTCCAAGGCTCAGCCCTGGTGTGTCACCCAGAGGAAGTTCCATCGACGTGCGAATCATCAGCGATGACGGCAGGGTAGCGGCTGGACCGCGTCGTTTCGTCGGGGATGGGCCGAGAGGACGTGCCGAAGGACCTCGCGTGTCCGGTTTAGCGGGACCTGGCGGCGATCGGGAAACGCCGGAACCGGCCAGGCGATCGCCGCCGCCGTACGCGGGTCTGAGTCCGCCCGAATACGAGGAACCGCAACCGAGAATCTATCCCAAGGTCGCGTCGAGAACTTATCAGACGGACAAAGAACGTCCGAGGGCGCCGGAAGAAGATGATTCCGCGATTTTCAAGCCAACGGCCTCACGCGACATCGACAAAACGACGGAACGAGCTCCGAGTCCGTCGAGAACACCGGTGTCGGAAAAACTGACGTCCCCGGATTCGAAGAGGAGCGAGTCCCCGCCGACGAAGAGAACCGGATCCAGGATGCAGGACAGCACGAGGCTGCGACCGCCGTTGGCCGGAACCGCCGGGATCTCCGCCGATTCCGGCACCGGAGACTCCGGAAGTGCGGAGATCCAGGCGGACGTCGTGACCCCGTCGCAGCCCGCGTCGGGCGACATTCTGGACATCACCGTGACCAAGACCGAGGACAAGTCGCCCGGTTCGAGAACGCCCGGCAGCAAGAGCGGCAAGCAGACGGTGAAGCCGTTCACGAAGGAGAGCCTCGACAGATTGGAGAACAAGACTGTGCAGTTAGTGCGCGACTATGGCTTTCAACCGAAGAGAAAAATGTCGGTGGAGGATGGTGCGGTACTGCCAAACAAATTCGAACCGTTCCCGACCGATCTGTACGGCAGACCGCTCGAGGAGATCGACAACTTCATCTACGACGAGGTAAGCTTCGTTGAAAAAACGCGCGTTTTCTCTTCCGTTTTTTCCTCTGTGACGAAGGAACTCGAGATATAATTGCTCTTTTTGTTAAATTTTCACGACAATGTAACCACATTTTTCACATAACTAAATGTAAGGCGACACATAGTTTTTTGTCGCATTGCGTTCGTCTTTCGCATTAATTTTCGCAACAAAAGGAAGTTACGTGGGATAATCCTTGGCGAAATCAAAACGCGATTTCGAAGCACAGCATTTCGGGCTTATCACGTTCGTATCTTTTAAATCTTACAAAGCTCCGGAGCGCGAAATGTTAAAGGACCATGCGAGCAAGCCGGAGGGGGGTAGGAGAGAGGGTAGCTATAAACGCGACGCCGCGATGCAATTTCAGCGGTCGCGTATTTCCAGTTTATATCGCCGGAGTGTGTGCCGGGGTGAGTGGCGAGGTGAGCAAATATCGCGGGCGAACGCGCGCGATTTTTCGCGTGTCTGTAAATAAATTTCTATTCCCTCCCTCCCTCCCTCCCCCTCCTCCCGTGAAGAGAGAGGTGTGGAAACAAAAGGCGCCGGTAAAATAGCATAGGCAACGGTGAAAAAAAAAAAACAAAACAAAACCAAAAAACGACGAGAAACGAGAGGAGCTACCGAAGACGTATATACGTGCGAAACAGACGGAAGGGATTGGGAAACAAAGGCGGAGAGAGAGAGAGAGAAAGAGAGAGCGGTCTCGTGGGGTGAGTGGGTGGTGAGAGGTCGAGAGGATGAAAAGAGAGTAAGGGGAGAGAGAGAGAGAAAGAAAGGAACAAACCGCGGACGAATCGAAACGGAGAGAAATACGGAGAAGAAAATCGAAAAGATGGCGAGAGCTCCACCACCACCTCCGGGGGTGATCGCGAGAGAAGCGAAAAGAGAAAGAAAAAAAAAAAAAAAAAGAAAAAAGAAAAAAATTAGGCGAATTCGTGTCCGTGCGCGCACGTCTATTTATATTAAAAATCGATCGACCGCGAGACTATTCGTGACTTGTTCTCAAATAGAGAACCTTTGTTGGATATCTCTCTCTCCCCCGCGGTGGATTATTATATGGGTCACAAAGGCAGCGCGGCGAATGTCTTTAATTACTTTTCCCGGTTTTCACCTAGCGGTAGAGAATTTTATCTGCCGGAGGGAGAAGAAATTTGAGCGAATTCGAATTTTCATGTCGTACAGAATAATTTGAAATCTTTTTTTTATCGGGACAAACTTTCGAAGATCGTTTAAATATTTTCCGTCTACACTAACGTTCAGAGATCTATTTGGCGAGAGAGCGGGAGCGCATTACTTTAACGGGATATCGGATGCGGAATGTGGATTTAATGCGCTGCCGGTATGCGAGCTCCTCTCGCATCAATAACGTCTCAATCTTCCGATCCGAAATTTCACATCGTGCCAGATCGTAGTTGCGCGCCGCGAGCGAGATAATATCGTGTGGGTGAGAGTTTGAGGATTAAAATTCGCGAATCAAATTTTCAGACTGACGAAGAAGTTCCGATTGTTTATATTTCCGACATATTTCATTTTCAACTTCTCGACGAGGTAAGAATTAACACAACGAGGAAGAGAGAGAAAGAGGAAAAGCTCGTTCTATCTCGCGCTTTTTCTTAATCCAAGAACTTTTGCAATTTGTCCGTCGCGCGATAACGTATAAAAATCGTGTTGACGCAACCTTTCCATTACATTCCTCATCGTAAATTATAATAGCGCGAAACGCGCGCTTGTGTTTGCGCGCGCAATGCATTTTATTTATGGTGTTGCACCGGGTCGATAGCAGAGAGCTATCGGACAGAAAGAGAAAGAGAGAGAATGAGAGAGAGAGAGAGAGAGAAAGAGAGAGAGAGTCAGAAAAACCTCGAACTTCATTAATCTCGTTACGATATACTTCTACACAAAAGCGAATATCAATTAAAGAAAACGCGTTTTCTTTTTTGCTCGCAAGATGACGCGGCACGCGATAACAATGTTGTTGCGCTAAACTTTGTTAAATAAAACTATTACAAAACAATAATAATAAAAAAAGTACTCGATTGATTACAACGCGCGTGTTTTTTTTTTTCTCGACAAAACTGCCTTCTCGCGAGATAGAGAAAAACGTTTAATTGCGCGCACAGAAAGATTTTGTGATTCGAGAAGTTTTATCCTCCCTCGACCGCGGAAACACGGGCAGGACGAAAAATATATTGCGCACGTGCAGAAAACCAATTGTGTGATTTGTTTTAACTTTTGCTCACAACGTGAGCCGCAACGTGATACTGTCGTTGCGTTAAATAAATACAAAACAATAATTTATTGATGACATTATTGCGAAGAAAATATTGCGTGTAACATATGTTGACTTTTAAAAACTGATTTTTGTACAATGCAAAAGCGTCACGCACAGAGAGAAAGATTTTCGGAAAGTTTTTTTTTCTTTTTTTTTTTTTTGACCAGAAGCACAGAACGAAATGTCGCGCGTGCAGGAAAGCAATTACAAAATAAGTCTTCTCATTCATTTTTGTTCGCAATGCCGCAACATGAAAGCTGTCGCGTTGCACGAAATAAAAATGAAAAAAAAAAACAACAATTTATTGATGACAACATACAAAATGCAATATGAGATATATAATGTTTTTTTTTTAACAAAAGCGTTTAATCCGCAAACGCACACAGACGGATTTGGTAATCAAGAAGTTCTCTCTCTCTCTCTCTCTCTCTCTCTCCGGATTAACACACACGGAGAAAACACAAACAATATAACGCGCGTGTGGGAGAATCGTGTTTAGCACACCTTTCATTATCACACCTCGAATTATTATCATAAAACACGGATGCGCGCGTTTGCGCACTCAGTAATTAATTTTCACGGTGCGCGAATTCTCAAAGCGCGCACTAACGATTGAGGTGGGCGCGTGCGCGCGCGACCGGGAAGAAAAAACTTTAAAGCTTCAGTAAGCTCGTTAGGTTTTCTCTACGCAGAAGGTGCAATGAATCTTCCACAACCGGCGAGTTGTTATTGCTTTCTTCCTCTCACTCTCTCTCTCTCTCTTTCTCTCTCTCTCTCTCTCTTTTAAGCTCGGTTTTTCAAATGAAAGGAGCGAGCTCTCGCGTCATATTTCTTTCGCGCTATTCCCGTCGCAGCCAGAAAACACAAAAACTGTCGGTCCACTCAGCCGAGTTAATGTATCTTTAATATGCCGGTGGGGAGAGGCGAGCGCGGAGAATCCAAGAGAAGAAAAAAAAAAAACACACAAAAATGTCGCTCGCATACGAATAAGAGCATTATTTATCGGACGCGGCGACGGTCAATTTTTCGGATCAACCAGTCGCATCGTTCCCGTTTTCATTCGCTCCCATTCTCGGGTTGATTCCAATTCGCCGCGTATGTGCGATATAAATACGCGGTAAATTAGTTTGCGCGGTAATTACGTTAACACTCTCTCGCGTGCGCGCGCGCATTTTCCGCGCGACGAGTTTGTGTATGCAACGCATAATCGCTACGTAATGGGCTGTGCAAAAACGCACCAATTCCATAATTCCACAGTTCACGCTGATGGAAAAGTGATGAGAGAGACAGACGGGTGCGTGCGCCACTGCGATTTGATTAATTAATTACATAGATTATGTATGTAGGATGCATTTGCGCGAAATGTTTGTACGCGCGAAAATGGGGGAAATTGCTTTTTCGACAAGAACTCCGCAGACCGCGACACTCGAAACAATTCGGATGTGAAAGAGGAGGTGGAGTGCATACAGCGAGAGAGCGAGAGAGAGAAAGAGAGAGAGAGCGAATTACGTCGAAGAACGCGTATAATTTCTTGCAAGAATTTCTCTTCACGTTTCTTTTCACGCGGGAGAAAGATGACTTGGAGCGATATAAATTGAGCGAGAAACGACCTCGCCTTTTTAAAAACGACGTTCAATTACGTCTCCGAAGGGAGAGAGAAATTTCTTCAGTTGAATACGACGGAGGATATTATGAATATAATTGTCGCAAATTTTTTTTCTCGCGCGGGGAAGAGAGGATAAAAAGGAGAGAAACGCGCGCGACGTTCCTCTCCTCATCCACGTACTGGAGCTTTTCAATATCTTTTTCTCCCGATACCCGCTGCTTTCATACGCGGATCACGCGCGCGATACACCCGATCTGCAACATTTCGCGTTGTCTGTCTTTCACGCAAATTGACGATTTGGCACAAGAGAGAGAGAGAGAGAGAAAGAGAAAAGTACGGAAAAACCGACAAGAACGTCGAGCTCGTTTATCGTAAGATTCAAGTGCACTCTTTTGTCTCAAATATATGTAATCTAACATTGTTAGATGACTTTTTTTTATTGCGTGTTGTATCTTAAGGCAAACGGTTTGGACATTTATTTAAAGAAGTAATAATTAGATCTGTGGATATTAAACGCAACAATTGTTCTATTTTTTAAGATATATGGTTTTAAATATTAGACATATATATTAAATATATTAAATATCAGTAACTTTTCGGATTTTTTCGATATTTTAAAAATATTTGAGAAATTATTTTAAATATGTTGATAAATAACGGTTTTCTACCTAAGTATAAAATTATTTCTTTAATAAATATTTAACCGGCGATATATTTGTCCGGTCAGTTAGAACGTTTGCCTTGCGCGTGCGTGATTCTCAATTTGCGATCTTCAATTTTTTCGCTCTAACATCGCTGTTAGTTATGCAAATAACGTAATTAACTAGCTAAGCAATTTGCTCCGATTAATTTGAAACTAACGCTGTTTCACATAACGGGATCTCGACTCTCGTGATATGAACATTCTTTTTATTACCGAGGCGGGGTATAACGTTTGAGAACTCGCTGAAAAAAAGTACGCGCGCGCGCGCGCGTCCGATAAAAAAAAAAAATAAGGAAAAATTAACTCGCTCGAAATTAACTCGGGAATATCACAACGTTACTTTGTGGACAAATTGTGTTTCGCCGACGAGAAGAACAGAAAACAACAATTGCCGAACAACT